CTTCAGATGAGTATCCCGCTGAAGAAAGTGATTCAACCGATTTGAATAAATTTTATGAAATAAACTGAATGATAGTTGTTTGAACATTGATATATATCATTTTGAATTCTTGTCACAATTATGTTAAATTGTTTCGTAGAAGAGAAACAATCGATATTGATATTCCTTAACATTACCCAATGGTAGAAGCAGTTGTAACGCAGAATGCTGTAAAAAATTAATTGAATAAAAAAGCATTTTTTCTAAAATATTAATAAATACATTTATCACAGTAAAAATAAGGTAACCATCGTGAAATTCAATTTTTTTTTTTATAAAACTATTTTTTTCGCTGCCTAATGGATTCTCCCGATAAATGCTTCCAAAATTTATCCTCATAGCGGTTATTGATCGAAGAGTGCAAATTACTGTTTATTAATTTTTTACCCGAGGTAATTTCATTTAAGTTTGTGGAAAATTGTAGAAATTAAAATAAATTGATCACTGATTAGCAATATTAGTTTTTGCGTTTACATCTTAATTAACACTGCTTAATCAAATTAATATTTATATCTTATTCATAGCTTCTAATGATTTTTATTCAAAGTACCAATTTCTAATCATTTGTAATATCAATTTCATTTTAATTGATACTGATATTATCAATAAATTGCTGGATAGGAGATAGGATAAATTAACGGATAAATTGCCACATTCTTGCAATCAAATTAAAGAATTAATTAATGAAACCATGTAATTAGAAATGTGACAGAGAGGCAACACCGTGCGCCAATGGTGTAGCGGTATCATTGCACCCTCCCACGGTGCAGACCCGGGTTCAACTCCCGGTTGGCGCAAACCATTTTCCCTCTTCTCTTATTTAGCATGTTTCAATTAAAAATATTTATTTATCAGTTTGTTGTGATGAAATAGTTTAATAATGTAAGGGGCATATTGTCGTAATAATTTGCATTACTATAAAATGTCACATATTTAAATCACTGAATTTGTTTCAATTTTTTTTTTTTTAGTATAGCCGTTTAATCATTTTACAGCATATGTTACTTTACATTATCTAAATCAGCGAGCGATTTTTTTCTATAGCTCAAATTTCCCGAGCAATTAAGACTATTTGTTATAGCGAAATAAAAAATCAAAATTTATTTATTGTGTGCGGTACGATTATTATTGCGAAATTCAAAATTTATTTAAAATTCTTAAAAACTACTAAGGTGCAAAAATATTTCATAACCAACTGAATAATAAAATAATTGTATAAATCAATTTCAATTATTCAGATGATAACAAATCAGATCGATCGAATTGACAATTATTGCATATCTCGAATAAAAAAAATAATGGGAATAAATAAAAATAAATTTTTTTAATGTTTGTTCATAAATGAAATAAAATTTAAATAGAAATAGAATAGAAATGAATTCATTAATGATAGAAATAATAAAAAAATTGCAATGTTCACTAAGCGGCTTAAATTCATACTTAATGCTATTGATGAGATTTCTTGATCAATTTGTAAAATGCACTCTGTTGAAGGGATTATTTAATTATAGTTATTTCCATTTCAAACTTTAATATTTACCAAAATTCCTGGTGAATAAAAAAGGGTGAAATAAAATAAAAAGACTAGTAAAATATGAAAATATAAAGTAGTAAATGATTGATCGTTGAGTTCATTTGTCGAAATGCATTTTTTTAACGTTTTTTTATTTATTAATAAATTTATAAATAATAGTAGCAAAAAAAACGATGCGCTTAAATTTGTTTGCTAAAAAAAATTTTATTTATGAATGAAAATATTGACAATAATGCGATGTATATGTATTTTTCATTCTGGTAAAATTATTATAAATTTGCCAAAATAATAATAATAATAAATCTTTTTTAAAATATATGCAAAATTTTTGATGGAAATAATTTGTAAAATAATAAATTTTATGCAAATTTATGACAATTTTTAGAATGCTTGGCTTGATTGATTTCCATTTAATGCCATTGCATTTCTTTTCCGAATCATTTATCCAATCATATCTTTTGTTTCCAATTGGAAGTTGTCGTAAATTCCGTTGTGCATTTATCCCAATCTGGCCAGTATCGTCCTAAAATTAAATACTTTAATCCGATTTAATATTTCATTTCAATTATTCCCCTCAAAGATGCAATTGTTTGTTCAATGCTCATTTCCGTTTCCTACTTTTTTAAAAATTTTTTTTAATGCCCGCTTTTTATTTTTCTTTTTAAATTTAATAAATTTAATAAATGATTGTCTTGTTTTATGTTAATGACAATGAAATGTTTCCAAACAAGCAGCTTCATAAATTATTATCGTCAAATGCAACGTTATACTTTATTTTTAAATTCTACAGTTAAAAGTAAAATTTAAACAAAAATTAATTTTTCTGGGAAACAAGAACGGCCTTTAATTCGATCGCAATATTCTTTCAAATTTGGCAATTCCTTTTCAATTGTTGTTTTTTGTGGCAGATCATATGGCGCATAAACAATTTGAGCTAGCACTCCAAAGAGTGTCGCATCAACCGGAAAAAGTAAATTTCAATTTCAATTTGCCGTGCTAATTTGTCAAACATAATTGCAATCAATTAGTGAACAATTTCGTTGAAATTATGAATTGTAACACTTAGAAAAAAAGTACAAATTTTAAATTTAAATAATTTCACTTACTCTTGTTGGCTTAAAACCAGCGAAATAATGCTTATCGCCAAGATAAGCTGAAATTGCTTTTAAATCGTCATTGCCAATATTTATAATTTCATCATAGCGGTGCTTCCCGATAGTAATTATTTTCATTTTTTTTTTAATCTGAACATTTTGCCTTATAAAAAAGATAATTTTTAGATAAATAAATTTTACATGGAAGATTGTTTTAATTAGCAAAAATGTTAAGACAATTATGTAATTTGATGAAGAAATGATCCTAATAATTCTTCTATATTAGTTGACTATTTTAAGCTAGAAACTTGGAATATTGTTAGCTAAAATTTAATTCACTATTTTCAGATAACAGGTTAGCACCCTTTTCGAGGGAATAATTTCACAAATAATATTGTGAACTTTCTTCGTTATATGCATTATAGATTATTTGAGAAAGAAAAATATTACTGAAATATATCATGATTTTTTATGAATTTTTTCACAAATTTTTCTCTATTTTTTTCGTTCGTTTCAATTAATCATTGAATAATTAATTATGTTATTTTAAGAAAAATGAAAATTTCGTCACTCTGATCATATCATATTATATTATCTAAGGAAAAGATTCATCTTTTTGCTTTAAAAAAGTATGAAATCAGAATAACTCTGATTTATGAAAAACATACATTTGACGAAACGATCATCTTCAATAAAATTTTCAAAATTGATGTTAAAGTGCCAAATGCATAATTTGGTAATTGTTCGAAGAGATCATCGAAATGTTCCATATATCGGAAATAGCCAACGGTCATTGCTAATGAATTTTCAGCCATTGCTTCAAATGCTCGAGCTCCTGCTTTTTGCTCATCATTTAAATGATTTTCCATTGATTCTTTGGCGAAGATTGCTGTCATATCTCTACAAATTTAAATATTCCTATGACTTAATTCACTTCTTGGAGAGAGAGGGAAGTAGATGGTTAGTAATTAAACGGGAATTCATTTATATGATTAAATTATAGATTGTATTCGACGAGAAGAAAACAAAGAAAAGCAAGAAAATGATGTTAGATTACTTAAGTATTAGCATAAAATATAAATTATATATGAAATTAAGTCTGAAAACAAAATTAAAAGTTCGAAATGAATATAACCGTTACCGTATCGCAAGTGCTGAATCCGGATATTCTTTACCGTTATATTCCAAAAAAGGTAATGTTCCTTCCAGCGAACGTATTTTCCAAGAACATACATTCTATAAATGCAATGAAAAAAGTTACTTAATTTGATGGAATATTTAAACACATTTATCATTTAGCATTAATGAAAGAAATTAATATTAAAAAACGATTTTTTTTAAAGGATTTAATTATTTTATAAATGTTTAATAGAAGTTAAAATTTGTTCAAATAAAGACTTGATTTTTTTTTTGTTTAGCAATATTTTGAAATTTTTTTTTTTTTGAAATTCTAACTTCATATTGTATATCAGCCATACGAAGCCAGGTTTCCAATTTTAAGCAAAATGGTGAAATATTAGGTATGTGTTTTACTCGTGGGAACTGATATAAATAAACCATGCCTAAAATGAATAGATAATTATCTAAAATATAGATAATTAATTAGATCAATAAAATTGTGGGGGTAATTGTAAACAAGCAGATAGCACCACTGAATCTTTCATTTTAAAATATCCGAACTTTTAAATTCACAAAAACAATCTTAAAACTTTTACAATGATATTTACCAAAATTTTGATTATAATTATTTATAAATGAAAAAAAAAGAAATTATTCAGCAAATAAGCCAGGTTGAACGAAACAATTAACCTTGTTTGTAATTATTTTTAATTGGTGTTTTGCGTTTTCGTGTAATCAAATATCTGTATGGAACATAAAATGCAATGATAATTCCGCCAATTATAGTAACTTTTGCATATGGCGCTAATTGCTCGTAAAATTCATATGCATAATATTGCAATAAATCGAATGCCATTTGAAAAAAATTGGATTAAAATTTATTATTTTTTTTACTAATAATATCCTGCCAAACACATAGCATAATTTCGTTAATTCGTTTTCACGAGGTAAGCATATTTTACGTCTGCACGTAATTATTTTTGCAAAATATACTACAAAAAAAATATACTACTAAAATGTACTACAAAAAACTATAATTATTATACTTAATATCAACAAAAATACATTTGATGTGTATATTCATTTTATAATAAGCATAATTAATAAGCACAAAAGCAGACGAGACGTGAAGTTATGTGATAATAGAATTAGTGATTTCCAATTGAAATATTTAAAATATGCCACAATAAATTTCATCAAATCTTAATTATGGTTTATTGAAATTATTTAATAATTAAGAGGAAATCTTTTTATTTCAAAATTTCTTTCATTTCCCTACTTTTTTTTATTTTTTTTAGAAATCAATAAAAGGTGATGCAACCAAAAAAGAATGCATGTTATTTTGTAATTTAAAGAAACTTTAATTAGAATTAATTAATTTACTTTTTCAATTATCTTCGATAGTTTCATTTTGTCTTTGTCATTTGATTTATCAACTGCATTGAATGTTTAATGTTAATAAAATTTTTAAAATTTATAAGGAAATATAAATAATCATTTTTTAAATACTTTAGAAAGACAATCGTACTAACAATTAATAATGTTTGCCAAATTAAAGGAAAAAGAAAATTTTTTCTGTTAATCTAAACTATTCGAAAGATTACTATCAACAAAGTCAATCAAGTAGATCCAATCAATCAATAATAACCAATAATATTTTAAGTCTAGAAATTTTATAGCTATTAAATTTTCATAGATACTCCTTTTTTCATTTATCTAATAAGAGCATAGTGCAGTTTAGAAGGATGATGATAAAATTAATTTAATTCAACCAAAAAGAAAAACAAATTTAATTCTACTAAAAAAAGAAAAGAGAAAGAAAAGAAAAGAAAGGGAGAAAGCTTTCAAAACTTCTCGCACTTTGTGTCGTAATTTCAACTTAAAAAAAAGAAAGAAAAAATGTAAAGAATTTCCTCTTGCCCTTTCCAAGTGCACAGTTAAAAACAAACTGCAAAGATGATTAGTTTAAGATAAAAAAAAAAAACTAATTTTCTTTTTTTCAAGTAGAAGAGTGAGAAGATGAAAGTAACACTGTTATTTTATAGCATATATATATTTCCTTTTTTAAAAAAAAATAGATTAAAGTTAAAATTTGATGGTTTTGAAGTGAGTTTTTGAAAGGAAATGTGCTAATTATGTTAGAATATTTATAATTATCATCTAAAAGTACTCACTTTTTTTCAAAATTTTTAAGTTACAACCAACTTACAGTAGGCTTTAAATTTTGTTACTTTTCTAAGTAAACGTTTAAAAATGAAATATAAAAATTAAACAATTGCAATCGTTTATTCGAAAAAAATAAAAAACGAATGAAATAAATATGGTACTATATTTAAATTAAATAATTTCATCAAAGTTTTACTTCTTTTTTGGTGATTACTTCTCTGCAACTTATAATTATTCTAAGATATCAAAAAACCATACTGAATTACAAAAATCATTTACTTACAGTTCATTAAATAATCAGGTAATTAGATACTTAAAAAACGATCAAAAATTCTCATCTAAAAAGGATTGTTAAAAAAAAGAAAATAAATCAAAAATGTCTTTGCTTCATTGCGAAAACAAATTTCATCAAAAAAAACCCTTTCAAAATTATATTTCAAGAGAATCTAAAATGTGCTATTCAAATTGGAAATTTAGAAGAGTGGAAAAATAAGGTATATTTTAGTTATACAATTATCAAAACAGATTAAACATTTTTTTTTCTGTGAAAGAGAATAAAAATGGGAGAAAGAGAGTGAAACAAAATGGAAAGAAATTTTATGATTGATTTTAAAATGTAATTGACTGCTTTTAAAATGATCGAAATGTACTTAGTTCTTGAATAAAAATAGCATGACAAACATTTACATTTACAGTGAATAAATCATAAAGAGATGGAATAAGTAGGGAACACATTTGAAAAGTGAATTAATTTGGCATTATTTTGTTTATAAAAAAATCTCGGCCCAATGAAACGCTTGAGCGGTTTACAATCTTTAATTCAACGATAAATTAATTGTTTTAAAAATCTGCTAAATTAAAAAAAAATTTTTCATCGCTATCGAATATTGCATATAGCAGAATTGAAGCATGAATGAAGTATGTTAGTATTAAAATGATAAGTAAAATAATAAGAGAGATATTAAAATGAAAATCGTAAAAATTAAATTTATAGCAATCGGACTGAATTGCATTTTTATTTTATTGATGTAAAGAAATTTCGATTAATTAACAACAAATAACTACATTGAAATAAATATTATTATGGCTGAAAATTTTCAAAATTTGCCAATTCAGTTGAAGAAATAGCTAAAAGTTTAACAATTTCTATTTTAACAGCT